TGTCAATGAAGTTTACGTCGGCGCCAGCATTGACGAGACTAGTGACAATGTCTCGAGAGTACCTTTCAACTGCCATGAAAAGTGGACTGTCGCCTTGATGATTGGTAACGTTCACTATTGCTCCGGCATACAAAAGTTCAGTCACACCTTTCGCGCAGTTGCTTCTAACCGCCAGATGGAGAGGACTGTTCCCATCAGTATTTCTGATATTGACTTCTGCCCCAGCTTTGATGAGCTGTGTCACTTTCTGGTGATAGCCAGTCTCAGCTGCATAGAGCATCAATATTTTTTGTCCCACTTGGACCATATCATTCACATTGCTCTCGTGGCCCTCGAATAATATGTGTTCCAAGAACCGAAGATGAACGAGGTCGCTTGGATCCTCATCATCGTCCTCCCAAAAGCTCGCCTTGTGGCTACATTCGACGTGGCCTGTCCCCACCAATCTCCCACAGTCTGTACACCTGCACTCACAGTCAGGTCGATCGAGGTAGTAAAGAAGTAAAGATGGGTCTGCGCCATGTCGAAGGAGTAGTTCGCAAGTTCTCTTGTCCCTATCAAAAACTGCTCTTATTAGGGGCTCCACTCTCACTGGGACGCTCATCCCAGCCCCATATTCCAACAGAGCTTGTAGAATCTCCTCTTGACCATTTTGTGCGGCGAATGAAATCAGGTTTGAACCAAAAAATCTGCTCCCCCTAACATAATTTTGTTTCAGGAGCGATCGTGTAAGCCCCACACAATTGTGATTAACGGCCCATAGAAGTAAAACGAAATCGTCTACGTGTACATCGAAATCGTCTACATCAGAACCGTCATCATCAGAACCGTCATTTGGGTAATCACAAAGTTGCGCTAGAAAACAGGCTGCATCGACATGACCTCTCAAAGCGGCAAGGTGAAGTGGGAGGGGGTGATAGATGGTTCGGTTGTAGCCATCTAATCGGAATATCATTTCGCGAGGAATTCGCTCCATGATAGCGCCGTGGCTAATTAAAATTTCGAGTATTTGCATATGACCTTCATATGCCGCGAGATCAAGTGCCGTCAAGTGACTTTTCCCTCGTTTGTTGATGTTGGGGCCACGCTGAAGCAATGCTAGGACGGCATCAGTGTCACCCATCTTAGCCGCAAATCGCAGTTGGCGGTCAATATTTATTGGTGTCTGCAATTCGAAGACTTTTTCTCTCGCTTTTCGAAGAGATTCGTCGTATACTGTAGCGTCGATGGCCACCGGTATGTCGTCATCCAAAGCCTCTGCATCAAGATTTTGACGCGCAGGTGGTTCAATCTCAATCACATCGTCGTCTCCATCTTGAACATCGGGCACGATTTTAGCCAACTTCCCAATGGTTCCAAGTTGGGAATTGTCTTGATCCTCTAGATACCTCACCTCTGCGATTGCTGAGCTTTCGTTACTGTCGTGGATTAAGGGTGAATTTGAACGACTGAGCTGGAGTATGAGAGATTCCGATCGCATCGAGCCGGGTTGTTGAACCTCATCGCTTTGATCACCATATTGAAGAATCATATCGAAACTGTTTTCAGGAGGTTGTGGAGTAACCGAAGCTTCTGACAAGTCTCGTACCACTACTCTCCGGCTCTCGAAATTCATAGCTGTGGCCGCATTTGTTTCTGGCCCTGGTCCTTGCGAACCAGCCGTGAGAGAGGCATGGCTGGTCGGACTTGACATTGCATACACCCTTAAATGAGGTGTCGTTGAAGAGCGCTGAAACGCAAAGTCTCTGTCCATCACTACATCTTCATCATGTGAAGGGGGTTTCGGGTCCTTGATATGTGTTCTGGATACTTCTCCAGCGAGGTGAGAGGCGATATAATCATCATTTGTAATCGAGACGTAGTGGTCACGTTCAGGATTCCATGTGCCCGGCTGTTGTGAAGAATGCCTTTCAGCAGACACCCACGACTCAATATCGATGCCACTCGCTACTACACTCATCTCCATGGGAGAATCATGGACTTGATCCACTTCAGATAGTTCATCACCTTCGGGATCTTGCCCCAAAGGTTTCATGTTTGGCGAGGCTCTTGGAGTTATATCCTCAGAAGACGTTGAGTAGTTGTCACCGCTTGGAGTCCAATAGCTAATGTCTGAAGGGGTAGGTGCTTGGGAACGGAAAGTCAGCCAAATATTCAAGTCAATGATGCTTTCGAACTTCTACCTGAAAATTCAAAATCGGGTGTATCGTTCGCTTGAGACAACTTGCGTCGTTTCGCGTACCGTGTAATCTTCTCTGGTGGGACAGGTCGCTTGCGAAGCCTGAAAGCAGTGTCTTTTCCGAGCCCTTGTGCGCGCTCTGATTGAATCCTTATCATTGCTTCTGCCTCATGACTTTTCATGTTCTTCTCGACTTTCCACTGCGAAAATTTCCTCTTGTATTGCTTTTCACTGTTTTCTGATCTCAGAACGATGGTGTGTATCTTTGAGGAACTTAGAGACTTCTTACGTGGCAACGAAACCATACTTGGATTTCATTTCCTGGCTCACTTCGAGGAGCGTCTTCTCTTTATTCCAATAGAGATCAATGATGGTTTCTTGGTGCTGATCCCAAACCGCGGCGCCATCAGGGCGTGTGATCTGACGTGTTGAATTTGCAGGAACCGGTCCAACAGGTGTATTGGAAGTCTCTGGCTTCGAGTACATACCAAGATTAATGGGCATAATACTGTTCGCAGCTGGATAGTCGTGACCTTGGGAACCGGATGGGTTCAGCCACACATGGTTTCTTGCCGCCCCTGGCTGGGAAAACACGGTTTCATCGATGATATCCATAATGGACCGAATGAGTTCAGGAAAGTCTGTCTGAGATGGATTTGTACCGCTGCCAGTCAGATACGAGAAGAGAGAAGTAAGGGTACGAGGATATTTATAAATCTGGTCGATGGAGAGCCGAACGAAAGTTGACACTGACTGCAAGAAGCATCCAATGAGCATCCAGAAGCAAAGGTGCCATGCATGTTGAGGCTGCGTACGCTCCAATCACGACAATGCTGAGTATCGGTAAGGAAAAGCTCGCTGTGGCTTTGAGACAGGTGCAAAGTTGGGTCGCATGCACCCGCAATCATCCTCTGGCCGGTGCTTTTAGCTATTTCGTTCGACGCAATTCTTGTTTGCTGTTTGTGCGAGATTCTTCACCATCTTGGTGCCTCGCTAAGTGAGGCATCTCAAAAGCATCGCCGTAACATTTCAGGGGTCTCAAAGATGGTTCATTAAATACACCTCCGCCAGGGTAAT